GGGGTGGGCAGGGGGCCTCTGATCACTACAGAGCAGCCCTCCACGACTAGATTCATGCCTTCCAGACTGGACCTGTGGACGAGGAGACATTCCTGAAAGCAGCAGTGGAGGGGAAAATGAAGGTCATTGAGAAATTCCTGGCCGATGGGGGTTCCCCGGACACCTGTGATCAGGTGATAGTCCTACCTGCACCTGTGCCTGCCTCCCTTTCAGAGCTGCCACCCCCACCCCTCCCACTTGTGGACCTGTTTGAGAACAGGCATTGGGTGTCCTTTAGAAAGGGGTCTTTAGAAGATTTGGGATGTCCTCTTGCCCGTGCGGGAACTTATCTAAATCTTTAGGCCCTTTTCAAGTTGAACCACCTCCAAGGAAACAAATGTCAGGTGGTCCTTTAGGGAAGAAAGAGGAACAGAGTTAAATTTAAAAAGACAAAACGAAGAATTTGAGGCTCAAATCCCATCTGTACGGGACCTTAGCTATGAGACCATTGCTAGGTTCATTACCTCTCCATGCCTAAGTTTCCTTCCCTATAAAATGGCCTATTTCCCTCAGAGCATGTCACGGGGATCAAACAGAATATTAATGCCTTAATAAGTCATTATTGAATGAAGGAAAAAACTATAAAGCACATACTAGGAAATGATATTATTTTTGTGTTGCATTATATAATATGCTTCCCTTTAAAAATTATTTTTATTTTATTGTGGAATACATATAGCATGAAATGGCCATTTTAATTTTTTTTAATGTTTATTTTTGAGAGAGAGAGAGACAGAGCGTGCACGGGGGAAGGGCAGAGAGAGAGAGGGAGACACAGAATCTGAAGTAGGCTACAGACTTGGAGCTGTCAGCACAGAGCCCGACACAGGGCTCGAACTCACAAGATGTGAGATCATGACCTGAGCCGAAGTCAGACGCTTAACTGACTGAGTCACCCAAGCGCCCCCATTTTAGCCATTTTAAGTGCACAATTCAGAGGCATTAATTACATCCACCATGTTGTGCAATCATCACAACAATTTTCAAAACATTTCCATCATCCTTCACACTTCGTTTTGTTTTCCCTGAAAACTGCTTCTTTCACACTTGGTACGGTGCTCTTTCACACTCATATCCCAGGATTAAGCAAATTTATGGTCACTCCCTTCAGCCTGTATCATTGTGGGCTTAGACTGCATGGCCTTTCCATTCTTTAGACTCTGGAATCTGAATCCTCTCGGTCTATCCAAGCACCTCCTGTCCCTGAGCACTGTACCAGGTGCTGGGGCGGGGGGAGGGGGGGTGTGCAAAAAAGGGAAGACCAGGGTTGAGGGTAGAGGGAGACTGGTGTATAGCCAGATCTTTAGACTATGGAAAGATATGCCCCATGGCTTGAGCGTTTCAAAAGATCGGAGCAAACTGCTGAAACTCGTTCCTTCTTTGGATCAGTCATTTGTGTGCACCTGCTCATTCTGGCCCTGGGCTAGGCACTGAGGAGAAGCAGAGTCTAGTAAGGCTTGGCTTGCCTTTCAACACCCTCTCACCATGGAAGGTTCTCTGGGTCACCCAAGGCACAGCTCTGGCCCAGAGGTTTCAAGATGATGGCACTTGAGTTGCCTTGCCTCTTGAAGGAGTAGCAAGAATTCATCAAGCACTCACAGGAAGTGAGGGCAAAATAGGCATTCCTGGCAGAGGGAACAGCCTGTGCCAAGGCCCAGCGTGACATGCTTGGGAGAGGGCACATTGAGAAGGTCAGAGTTCCCAGGGCATTAGAGGGCTCCGCAGCTGGTCTAGATAGAACATGAAAGAGCTGGCAGGACATGGAAGATAGGGGGACCGAGCATAGGGGTCAGAATCGAACAGGGTTAAGTCCTGGGTCTTAGCCTGGGGCCAGAGATCAGGCCCTGACAGTCTCTCTGGGGACAGTTCCGCCGGACAGCATTGCATCGAGCTTCCCTGGAAGGCCACATGGAGATCCTGGAGAAGCTTCTGGAGAGTGGGGCTACTGTGGACTTCCAGGATCGGGTGAGCTATAGAGCAGGTATTGGGCGGGAGGTAGGAGGTAGGCCCAGCACTAACAGACCCCCTCTTCCCGTAAACCTGTGCCAACCTGGAAGACACTCTTGCTTCCTCAGGGGCCAGGCCTCATCTCTAGCAGATTGTATGACCTGGGGCCACCCTTCGTTAATTTGGCATGGACCTGAGGGTTCTCCTGCTCTGCTTGGTCCATAGCCCAGGCATAGGCATGCCCCAGCCCCTTCCCTGCCCTCTTTCCCTCGATTCCTCCCACCCTCTTGGCTGGGGTCCTTTTCCCTAGGCTCCTTTCTTCCCTAAAGCCCCATCTTTCCCTTCTAGCTGGACTGCACGGCCATGCATTGGGCCTGCCGTGGGGGCCACTTGGAGGTGGTAAAACTCCTGCAAAGCCGAGGAGGAGACACCAACATAAGAGATAAGGTGGGGCAATAATGCTCACAGATATTAAGGTAGCTGGAGGGGGAGGGCAAGAAGCAGAGAACAGAAAAGCCCAGTAGGGCAGGAGGGTAGTGAGCTAGTCTGGTTTCTAGAGTGGCTGCAGAGCCCAGGGAGGGGTCCTTGCCATCAACTGTAGGTCCTTGGGGACCACCATCTGGGGATGGGAGCAGAAGAGCAGGAGAGAAGAGAAGAAATCCACTATCGGGGGGCTTTGGGATCACTCAAAAGATGCAGGATGTGTTCATCCATGCAATTATTTATCATCCTTTATTTATCTGTCCATCCATCCATTCATTTATTCATCTGTTCACCCACCATTTTTCTGTTTATTCATTCCTTTGTGTATATCCTTGAACAAGTGACAGATAGGTTCAAGACAGCCTCTGAGCCTATGTTATTATCTGTCAAATGTTTTACAGAATTATTATATAATTAGACGTGAAAGTGTATGTAAATTATTTATTCAGCATAAGGCTGATGTTTTGTAAGCTTCTGCCATGCCTAATACATGGTCATCCCTCAGTAAATGGCATCTAGTATAATTATTTATTTTTTTTAACAATTTGGAGCGTCTTTTTTTTTTTTTTTAAGTTTATTTATTTTGAGAGAGAGAGCCAGGAAGGGGCAGAGAGAGAGAGGGAGAGAGAGATTCCCAAGCAGACTCCACACCATCAGGACAGAGCCCAACGCAGGGCTCCATCCCACAAACCGTGAGATCATGACCTGAGCTGAAATCAAGAGTCAGATGCTCAACCCACTGAGCCGCCCAGGTGACCCTAAGATTTTTTTAAAGTAATCTCTGTACTCAACATTGGGCTCAAACCTACAACCCCAAGATCAGGAGTTGCATGCTCTACCGACTGAGCCACCCAAGTACCCCACATCTATTATAATTATTAAAAGAAGGGCAGAGGAGTAAGCAGTTGCTCACAGCTGGGTGAGAGAGGAACCATAGAAGGCTTCCCAGAGAAGGCGGCATGAAATACTTCAGAGTTAAACCATTGGATAAGATGGTGGAAACTGTAGCATTCCCAGCCCCTCCAGGGCTCAGGCCTTGACACTACGACTCAGGGAAGGGACTAGGCTGGAATTAGGACAGCCTCCCTTCCCGGAGGCACCATAGTCCAGGCTCCTTCAGCTAGCAGTTCCTGTTTCCTCCCCACCCAGCTGCTGAGTACCCCCCTGCATGTGGCAGTCCGGACGGGGCAGGTGGAGATTGTGCAGCACTTTCTGTCCCTGGGCATGGACATCAATGCCAAAGACAGAGTGAGTGTCCAGCTTCCCTTCTGCTCAGCCACCCCAAGGGGGTGCAGGCAGCCTGAGGGCTCCCACACGCCCCCATGGGCCACACTGAGTATCACACTGGCTCTAGGAAGGGGACAGTGCCCTGCACGATGCTGTGAGGCTCAACCGCTACAAAATCATCAAATTGCTGCTTCTGCATGGGGCTGACATGATGACCAAGAACCTGGTAAGTTCATTCCTTCCCAGATTCAGTAATCAGTGTGCACGACTCCCCCAGCCTCTGTGCCAAGAACTTGGAGGAAATACAGAGCCAAGCAAGACTCAGCCTGCCCTTGGAGCACCCTCACAGTGGAAGCTCTCTTTGGGCCCCTGGAGATTTGGGGACCACCCACCTTCCCAACTCGCTCTTATGCTTGTCTCTGTCTAGAGTGCAAGTGCAGAGAAACAGCCAGCAGGGGCAGTAAGAGGACTTCCCAAAGCCCCCTCCCAAAAGATGCAAGGAAGTCCTAATGTCCAGACCCAGGGAGGCCAAAATCATGGAGGGACAGAGCTAGAAGGAACCTAACTAAGCACTTGGTTGGCGCAACCACTGCTAGCACACTGTGTTGGCCTGGCGGGCCTGGAGTTCTCCGAGGGTCCTATATCCCCTAGCCCAAGCTCTTCTTTGGGGCCCAGTGCAATAGCAAAAGAGGGGGGAATGGGAAGGTCCCCCTGCCTCAAGAAAGGCTAAGGAGATAATGGGAAAGTCAGGACGATGTGGGGAGGAAGTAGATGAGGGCTTCTCAACCACAACATTATTGGTAAGTGGGGCTGGATAATTCCTTGTTGTGGGGACTGTCCTGCGTATTGGAGGCTTTTAAAGCAGCATCCCTGACCTCTGTGCACCATATGCCAGTAGTTTCCGCTCCCCTGATGGTGACAACCAAAGCCACCTCTAGACACTGCCAAGCGCGTCCAGTTGGAAGCCCCGGTTTAGATGAGGGCGCCTCCTGGTACAAACTTCTGAACAGTGACGGCATCTCCTCTTGGTTCCCCCAGGCAGGAAAGACCCCCACGGACCTGGTGCAGCTGTGGCAGGCTGACACCCGGCAGGCTCTGGAGCACCCAGAGCCAGGGGCAGAGCAGAACGGGTTGGAGGGTCCTGCTGAGAGTGTGCAGGAGACCCCCCAGCCTGTGCCAGCCCAGTGAACACCTGCCCCTGGCACCCGGGCTGTCCCTTGGGTACAGCCAGAGGATCACAGTAATGGCCCCCAGAGCTGACAACCCTGCCATTCTTCTGCATACGACCCGGGCACCCACAAGCTACCGCAATTAAAAAAAAAAAAAA